GCCCGCGGAGCTGTGGGAGCCCGGGGAGCCGGCGTGAACCCCGGCAGTTGTTTCTTCCGAGGCACCCGCTGCTGCCCTGCCAGGGCTCAGCCAGCCCAGCGAGGAAAGCGCCGATGTATACGTCCGCGGACATACAGCAGTGGAGGGACAGGCCCCACGTTACTGTTTTCCGTTCAGTCAAATGAACTGCTGGTCAGGTTATCTTGCATGCACATTTTTTTCGTCCATTTCTTTTTACTTCTCTAGTAATTCCAGTATGTGTAAAAAAATCGAAATATTTTTTTACTTCCTAATTTCAGTTTAAAATTCTTTATTTTTTTTTTTCCGTGGTGATATTGAAAAGGGTGCTGTCTTGTGCAGGGTGTCGGCGCGAGTGCGAGGTTTCGGAGCAGCCCCTGCCCCGCAGGCTGTACATAGACTCTATCTGTATATCGGGGGGCTTTTAGCTAGCTGAAACCGAGCACCTCTTCCTTGCTGGGCGCAGGTGCTCCGTGGTAATTTACTTGAACTTATTGGAAAGCAGAACACTTTTTTATACGCGAAGAAGTTTTATTTTTTCATCTATGTTTCCTACAGATGCCTTTTTTCTTTTTATAGGCTCAAATCTAAAGGTTTTTTAAAATGTATTTGAACACTTTCTGTTGATTTGCAGGTGACTTCGGCAATTATCTTGTTGCATTATTTTTTATTTTGCTGAAAGCCCACTTTAATTTTCTCACGTAAGAAAACGGGTATTTTTTTATACTGGCTATCTCGATACTTTTTTAAAGATGTCGCGTTCTTCACTGGGGTAGAGCAGAGTTAATCCCAGCTTCACTTTACTTCACACTGCCTTGCTCTTCCTCTACATCTTTAGAATTGAAAGCAGAGCGTAGCTGGCAACACCCTTCTGCGTGGTTTTCAGGTTTGGCCCCTGAAATTCGTTTGCGGTTTCAGACTGGCATTGTCTCAGTTTTTGGGAAGGGGGCCGGGGAAGGCGGAGGGGGGCTAATCTGTTCTGCCGTTTGCTTTACCAGTTTCGCCTCTTGTTTTGAGCAGTCAGTGCCGCAGTAAGCATTGCAAGGGACGAGGCGCAGAGGATTATTTTTTTCCAGTAGCACAAGATGCTTTTCTGATTTGGGAATGCGTGCAGACAATGGGACTTTGAATGGAAATATCTTAGACAAAATCTTTTAAATCTTTCTTAGAAGCTTTGTTCTAGGATCAGACTGTTATATTTTATGGGAAGTTGCTTTATCACCTACTTAAGAAGGCGCTGAGGTTTTCTTCAAACAGCTTTGTGCAGAACTGCTCACCTTGCCTAAGGAAAGTAACAAACCCGGGAAGAGGGGAGCTCCTCTGAGGCTGCACCGCCCTCCTTTCGCCCGCACGGTGGAGTTCAGGGCATCTTGCTGGGGTGAAGGAGGAAGCCCAGGCCGACCTCACTCGGCAGCACAAGGGATGACCCAGTGCTGCGCAGACTCACAGCACGAGAGTCAGTGTTTCTGATTTTGTTCTTGAGCCTGGCTTTTTTTTTTTTCCTGAAAAACATTTATTTTCACATGGTAGTATTTGCAGAAATACTGCCTTTCTTGGATAATTTTTATTCAGGTAACATTGCTTAGATTTTATTTGTGGTTTTTATATATACGCGTTATAGAAGAACATGCAGTAAGGGGACATCCCGCCTCCAGGCATCGTTTATGCCCACTGTAATCCTGTTTGTCTCCAGGGGAGCAGGGAGTCCGCTACGGTTAACGAAAATTACAACAGCATCCTTCATACAGTCAAGTTGCAGTGCAGCCTACTTAGTCATGCTTTAAAAACCAGTGGTTTTGTCTTAAACTGGATTTGGTTTCAATGCTAAAAGAGCACTGTGATATGGAAACAGGATTGATTGTATGATGCAGCCTCCCTTTATGTTTTATGATTGTGGATGATGACATGTTAGATATGCACAGCTCTGTTAAATAAGTGTATTTTTTAAATTAATGGATAATCACACAAAACGTTTTGGCGCTTCTTTTTCACAAGAGTGAAGTATTACTTTTCATGTCACTGTGCACTCAGTTTTTTTCTTCTTTTTCTGTAATGTTTACATAAAAGTCTTGTAAAAACCCCATGGGCTAAACTAACATTTCATAAACTTGTTTCTCCAAATATACTACCTAAAGCCAGCCCCTCACCTTGCATTTTACCAATCTGGTAGAACAGATCTGCTGCTCTAACGTGATGTGTTAGAACATGAGAAGTATCTCAGGAATCAAAAGAATGTGGTTTGGGGGTTAAGTCATGTATTTGTTATATGACTCGATACATCCAGAATCTAAATTTTCCTTGAAACCTTGTTATGTCCAGTACAACTAGATTCTACTGGGTGGATGTTTAAATCCCTCTCCATGCATGTAGCTGGGTGTAGGCCATGGAGAACAAGTTTAACCGTGACCTTGCCTTGGTTGGTGTTTAAGTGGAAAACTCATGCCTCACGATACCTTGAGGAAATGTGGTTTTCAAATATTAATTGCTAACAAACATTACAGATTCTAGACCAAAATAAGCTTGTGGATAAAAAGAATGTAGTCTACACGTCTCCTAGCAGTTTTATTTCCAAGTCTGCTGTTGTACAAACACAAATGCATTTAATTATTTACTGTGGTTTCAATGTAAATATATTCTGTCTCCAGTGTATTTGAAGGATTTTCAATGACATACCTTATTTTATTATTTTCTTTGATTTGTGAGTGATATGCAGCTGTCACTAAATGAACCGCAGTACTGGTTGCTTCTTTCCTTTGTAATATTTTTGGTTTGCAACATTTAAGGTTCAGTTCAGTGGAAATGTATGAAGTGGATAGAAAATTGCATTTTACATGATTATGTGACCATTTACACCTGCAATAGGATTCTGGATGGAAATGGAGATGTCTCACATCCTTTCTGTGTGTGATTCTGTCAGAAATGACAACCTTTCTTTCCGCGTCAAATCACGAGAGGGAGGATGCTCAACGAGCGAGAGAGAGGTAGGGCTCCACAGTCCAGCCAACACTCGTCTCTGACACCAACGGACTTGGTTTCTTGTTCCCTCTGTCCTTCAAGTAACCTCGAAAGTACCATCTGTTTGATGGCAAAT